GGCCGCGACCCTGAGCGCAGGTTAACTCGACCGGCTGCCACCAGCGCTGCTGAGATTGGTGCCGAAGGGAACACGTCGTGTCAGCTGCAAGGGTCAACAGCAGGCTGAAAGCTGGCCAGCGTTATGAGTTGAAATGCCTGCAGCTGGCCGATGTGTGTTGCTTTCGTGACACGAGCGCCGACTGTTCGTTGCTAACCACAGGTCACAGCCCGGGTCAGTACGAGGCATGCGTTTTATGAGTCGTTCTGGTGACAGCAATGTATGGCGTAGCGTTTTGCGCATTTACAACGAAAGCCGACATCGGTACCCAAAGAATGATGCCACTGTGGACTGGCATTATGGATGAATAGAAAGCGCTGTTTCTGATGACGAAGGATGCACCTTCTTCAGAGAAAAGCTTTCCACAATGTAATGTTTCCTTTATGAGCCATTCTCGTCACGAAATGAGCAGGAAAGTAGCGTTCGCACCGCCACCAGCGGCGCACCCTAGCGACGGCGCGCGCGGTCTCGTCTGCAGCTGACCGGGTGCCGGTTGCCGACTGCCGGCGGGCCGGTGGCGGCGACGGCGGGTGGGCGCGGGGGTGGCGGGGGTCGAGGCTGGCCGCTAACCAGGCCGGCCGTGGCCCGGCGCTGCACTCGGACGCCACTTTCGCCACCGTTGTGTAACGCCATGCATCAGCGCTGCTCCGCGGTGCCGTAAACGATGCACACTGACGCGCCGGCCACGCTGGCCGCGCCCGTCGACGGCCATCTATCAGAGCGGCGCTTTCTCCGCGTCTCTGATGACGGCCGGCTCGGGAGTCGGTACCGCGGCACCCCCTCCCCTCAGCCCCCCCCCTCCCCCCCCCACCTGGCTGGTGTCTGGCCGGCTCGGGGGTCGGTACCGCGGTGCCCCCCTCCCCTCAGCCCCTGCTTCCCGCGGCACACCTGGCTGGTGTCTGGCCGGCTCGGAGGGCCAGTACCGCGGCGCCCCCCTCCCCTCAGCCCCCCCCCCCCTCCCACACCTGGCTGGTGTCTGGCCGGGTCGGGGGTCGGTACCGCGGCGCCCCCTCCCCTCAGACCCCCTCCCCCACACCTGGCTGGTGTCTGGCCGGGTCGGCGGCCGATTGGCGTCGGAGATCGGTGGCGGGCCAGGATTTACGACTGCGGTCGGGTCGAGGCTGTCGTCGCATTCGGCAGTTGGGGCCTCTGTCTCGTGATGGACGCTCCCACTGCCGGTGTTCCCCGTCACTTCGATGATTCAGACGGCTGAAGGTGTGGTAGGACACGGCACTCAGCCAGCTCTCCGCTGGCTTATCTGTCTGTACATGGACTGGGTGCGGCATCTGTGGTCTGGAAAATGCAGGCGAAGGTCGGATTCTGTCATCTTTATTAGAGGAATGAGCCTTACTGAACTGGTCCCCATTGAGAAGGAATCAGCATCCGAACATGGTCCGCATTTCGACCACGATAAAGCCATAAGAATGTAAAAATATTCATCTGCACAATAGCGGTAGCCCTCATCCACGTTACGACCCACTGCGTCGGAAAGCCAGAAATCTGTATGCTGTACCTCAAGATGTTCAGTCTTCAAGCGCAATTCATTCTAACGTTGCGGCGCAATGTAGACTAACTCTCTGTACCCTGTGACATTCTTTTCGGTTGTTAATTAGAGGCCAAAATGCAAAGTGAAATGCGGTCCGTAGCCACTTTAAAGATGTAGCTTCGCAGGAATATTTAAGGGTAAGATAAAAGAATACAAGACCAAAAGCCAACATTAACACCAGAAGATGCCGCAGGCTGTCTGTGCATTTAGCTAAAGAAATTCATTTCCGAGTGGCCTGTCCTTGAACGGCATTCTCTGGAGCGACACCATGCAGTTGCGGCAGTGTGTCACCTGAGCACAGGTAACTCCTGAGCAGTATAACACAGCTGAAATGACAATCACTTTAGGGCGTGTCACTCCGCTGCACCGCGTTCGTGCTTTGAAGGCTGTGTTAGTCATGGGATGGTCTGTCGGCGCTCGTTTTTCTCCAGCGCACGCCCGCTGTACAACCAAGCTGGACTGCCAACACGGGCGGTCTCGAAACCCCAGCGGAAAGCCGGTGACACAGCACCAAGTAGGAAAGTCAGGACGTTGGCTGTACTGTTCAATCCCTTCCAGTGGAATCTTTACACGCATCAGTCTTTACACACATCAATCTTTACACACATCAATCTTTACACACATCAATCTTTACACACATCAGTCTTTACACACATCAATCTTTACACACATCAATCTTTACAAACATCAATCTTTACACACAGTAAACACACGGATTCTAAAGCACCATATCTACATTTTCATAACAGGCACGCAGACCACTTACCGTATGCACACTGAAGGCCCTACAACGCGAGTAAAAGTGTTTAGATGAGGAAGCCAGTTTTCCAGTGATTATGGCTGCGCTGGAACCAGTTGGAAAAGCATGTACGCATAGAGCAATAGCCTCTACCAATGCTTGTCGAACCTTTGCCATACTTGATGCAAAGGGGCACGCAAAGGTTTGCCGACGATCGTATGTGTGTGTGTTCACGGATGCGTTTTTTGCGGATCTGATGGTAGAGATTGTACTGCCTTTCGTGGTAGCACCCGCACGAACATGTCATATATCACCCGTATCAGCACCCGCACGAACATGTCATATATCACCCGTATCAGCACATTTAGGTAAATGCCTAATTAATGATGAGTTCTTATCTGATGTGGCCTTACAAACAACAATCTGCTCGCCAAACAAAAGTGCGCAAAACGTTTCTTTACGATCTGTTGAGATGTGCTTTACACCAACAGATCTTCGCCGTTGCCATGGGCGGCATCGCCTTGTAACTAATGATTAAACAATGGGCGTCACCCAGACGAGAGCATCTGAGCCGATGGAGGGACGCTGTTTGGCCATTCCTCACAGTCAAGGCCTTATGGAGAGAGCCCAATGTTTGCATCGACTAAGAACATCCATTGCGCGGTCCATCTAGCCATCAGTTCACTAAAACTTGCAGCAATGGGCATGGCTATGGTGGACGCATTCGATAGCTGATGTGGTGAACATGGTCGTTAACGCCGGGCGTAGCTGCATGTGGGACGCACAGCCCAGGGAGGGGGATAACGTTCGCCCTTCGGCTCGGCGTGGCCAAACGAGAAGCAACGACAGCAGCGACATTATATTGCCACATGACTTGTCATGCATACGTCATACCGCTGATGCCTGGCCTCTGGCTACTGACGCCCGGCCTCTGACTACCGACGCCTGACGTCCGGCTACTGACGCCCGGCCTCTGGCTACCGATGCCTGACCTCCGGCTACTGACGCCCGGCCTCTGACTACCGACGCCTGACCTCCGGCTACTGACGCCCGGCCTCTGACTACCGACGCCTGACCTCCGGCTACTGACGCCCGGCCTCTGACTACCGACGCCTGACCTCCGGCTACTGACACTCGGCTTCTGACTACCGATGCCTGACCTCCGGCTACCGACGCCTGACCTCCGGTTACTGACACTAGGCTTTTGACTACCGATGTCCGACCTCCGGCTACTGACGCCCGGCCTCTGGCTACCGACGCCTGACCTCCGGCTACTGGCACTCGGCTTCTGGCTTCTGACACCCGGCCTCTGGATACTGACGCGTTTCCTCTGGTTACTGACCTCTGGCCTCTGACTACCGGCGTCCGGCCTCTGACTTCTGAAGCGTTACCTCTGGCTAGTGACGTCCGGCCTCTGACTACCGGCGTCCGGCCTCTGACTTCTGAAGCGCTACCTCTGGCTAGTGACGTCCGGCCTGTGACCGCTGACGTCCAGCCTCCGACTTCTGAAGCGCTACCTCTGGCTAGTGACCTGACGAGCCTGCCGGTGACGTCCGGGGCGATGCTGCCCGGGCGCGTGCCACGCCTGCGTCGCCCAGCGACCGGCCGCCGCCGGCCGCCCGGTGACTCAGGAGGGCTGCTCCCTGGCACCGGGACCGGCGGGCGCGTGCCTCTGTCGGCCCGCTGACCGTGAGACTGATGAGCTATTCTGCTGACACGCGGGCGGTCGCCGGCGGTCATGAATGGCGCGAGGGTGTGCGGGCCCGACACGCGCGCTCGAAGCCTTTAAAGGAAGTGAAGGTCGCGACCGAGAACCACTAATGAGGAAAACAGACTGAGGTTTAACCCTGAACTGGAAATGATAAAGCGCGCGTGATAAATCACCACAACTGGCCGCGTCGCGCTGGGTTGCGGGACGTTTCGCCAGCTCCCCTTTGGCCAGAGTGTCCACTCCAAGTGGGGTAGGTTGTCTGCCGCAAATTGTGCAGTATCGTACAATAAAAACATTTGACACGATCCGATCACTGGCACCGATATACGCTAAAAATCCATGAATCCTAAGACAATCAAAATTCAAGTCTCGTGTGTACCTTTGCTTTTGCTGAAGGATGTTTTTTGGGCACCGGCAGAGAAACATGCTGGTATGCAGATGTTTCAATCAAGGCTAGTACATCATCGTTGAGATTATTTGGGAATATGTTTAAATCATCGCACGAATGCGCGCCGACATAGGAGCCTCCGGAGTCATTTTACCAAAGCTAACACACGGTCTTTAATCTGAGGTGTGTGTGACTGTTTGCACGCTCCATTATACACGCTTTGTTGTTCTACCCCACCTTCAAAGTTCGCAAGGATGAGGTCGCGAGCAGGTGCAGTGCCGCCATGTGATGAGGTCGCGAGCAGGTGAAGTGCTGTCATGTGATGAGGTCACGAGCAGGTGCAGTGCTGCCATGTGATGAGGTCACGAACAGGTGCAGTGCCGCCATGTGATGAGGTCAAGAGCAGGTGCAGTGCTGCCATGTCAGATTGCACTGGTCATTGTCCAGTCTGCATTTCACCTGTCTTCCGTGGTGCTGGCGAGCCACGTGCGTCTGCAGACCGCCACTTGCGCCCCGTGACGCCGCCCCCCCCCCCGTCTGACCTGGCTGACCTCTGTCGCCCTCTGTCCGACCACAGGGATGACCCACAACTCGAGTGTGCTGCTGTACCGGGCCGGTCAGCAGGCGTCCGGCGCGCTCCAGCTGTTCGCCGAGAAGGGCGACTCGGCCGGCCTGGAGACGAATGCCCAGGGTGACCTGGGCGTGCTGGACCAGTTCACGGCGCCGGCCGTCACGCAGGGAGAGGGCACCACCCACTCGCAGCTCTTCGTCGACGGCGTCCACTCCAAGGTACGGCGCCGGCGCCGCCGCTGGCGGAGGGGACGGCGTGTGCTGGTGGTCGGTGGTAATGGCGACTGGGCGTACTGTGTCCACGATGTATACGAAGTGCTTGGCATCTCCCGGTGCATCGTTTGAAATAGAGTGTTCCTGTCACCACCTCACTGAGATTTACAAGGCTCAGGATGCTCATACAGTTTAAAGTTCAAGGATGCGGCTGACAAAAACCACGTGCATGAAGTGCAGGTTCGCCCAGGGGGTTTGCAGACGTGGTTTTGATCAACGCGGGCTTCTCTCGCTTATGAAAACGCAGGCTGTCGCTGCTCTCGGAACACGCGTGAGTCAGACGCGCCTGCGCAGATTGCGTGACCGGCGGGGGCCCCTTTGTTTATAAATATGTCTGCACCTTTCACCCACCTCAGGCTTTGATCAAAGTGGGCAGCGTACACGCTCACATGCGTCCGAGTTGAGCAAGACACACAAACAGCGCTCGGTGCTGGCCGACAGGTGTCGAGATCAGACAGGTGTCGAGACCGGCGCGGCGCGGTCGTGTTTGGACGGCGCCCGTCGCGGCGCGTGCTCGCGGGCAGGGTCGAGCGCCGAGGCCGGTCTCGATCCATCAGCACCGCCCTTGGCCGCGGCGGCGGGGGGCGAGGTGTGAGCTCAGTGCGGCTGGGCTTCTCTGCCGGCCAGGCCCGGCTCTGACCCGGCCGGCGGGCGGCCGGCGACCTGCAAAAGGGTCCAGACGACCCACCGCCTGAGGCGAAGCCTGAAGAGGCCCATTATGATGCACCCCGGAGTAGCAAACCAGTAATAAAGGGAGACTGCCGTGGTGGATGTGCCATGTTATACGCACCTCAGCAAATCAGACAGCACCCGCCTTACATCAGATGGATGGAAGAACAAGGATAATTGGCTATTGACCTGATTGCCACTGAGCACGCTATAACGATAAAGGATTTATTGCTGTGCTAATATCCCATTTCCCGGGCTTCAATAGTACGGCATGAAACCCATCGAGTGGTGCGCGCTCGGACATCACGTTAAAGGGACCGGTGGTGCTGTATTTTGTAAGATAGCCCTGGTTTGACTTGGGGAAACAATCTGGCAATAGCGCGCCGGTTGTCTGGGGCAGCAAGGCACCTTCAGCATGGCATGCTGACCGCAAGCCCTACAATGGCAGCGGTATCAGATATGCCGGCGCCTGTGGCCAGACCCTAATTTGCAGTGTCTGAACTCAAAGGCTGATAGCTAAGCTCACTCGTAAAGAAGATGAGAGTCACAGCATGCATAACATCATGGTGGTTGAATACCGAACTGTCTCATTTAATCCATGTTCAAGCTTTAAGAGTCAGGCAGTATTTGCATTTACATATTGAAATACTTCATGGTGACTAGATAACAGCACGAAGCGGAAATAAAACAGCCAATAAACATCATGGATGTAAATGCTTAGTCAGTGCTTTACCACACACCGCTATACCTGTTAAGGCTTCACAAGGCTATGCCTATTGTCGGCACGCCACATATTTCACAGTCGATCGTTTTTCGCTGTGGCGATGCGTTAACGTCAACGTTTATACTTGCCACCTGTCGTTTGTTTTCGCAGTGTTTACGTGACTTTGAATCTGCCACCAAACTATTCCGTTGTGTTTACGTGACTTTGAATCTATCACTAAACCGTTTCCCGAAATGCCCGGCCCCAGACTGGATCCCGAACATCGACACCCCGACGCGTCAATACGTCACCACTGCACCTGATGGGCCGGGGCTTCTGACGAGCCAACATGAGTGGAGTCTAGCCCCCCCCCCCCCCCCCTACAACACGCCCCCCCCCTGCGGGCCGCGACGATGCCATCTGTCCGTGTGAAGCTGGAGGCGGCTCCCTGCGACGAGCCGGCCGAAGACAAACATGATAGATCGGCAGTGGTTCTCATCAGTCGACGCGGAAGCCATCACAAGGTGGCCAAAACAGCGGGAGGCGCTGCTGTACGTCCGGTAGCCAGACCTCAAGCGGCCGCACCTCCAACTGGGGTGTGCCGTCCCAGCAGGGCTGACCAGAGCGAGATGCACCGTCGGGCCGCACCCTCATCGCGGCCGGCCCAGTCGCCTGGCCCTCCACGCGGCTGGCCCAGCCCCCCTGGGCCGTGATCAGAGCACTGCCGCCGGCGGCAGTACATCGGGTGTCGTCAGCCGTTGTCAAGCTCTGCTGGACCGGACAGCGGTATCGTTCCGGGCGTGACGCTTGCAGCGTGCAGATCAATCGCTGCGAGCCGACAGCGATACAGCAGGGCTCTGTTCTCCATCCCACTCGTTTCCTCCCACGCGCTGACGTTGAGTTGACATGCGTTGGCCGCGCCTCTTGCGGGGGCGGAAAGGGCGGAGGAGACGGCCGCTCCCCTCCGCTTCGTGCCACGATGGGTGACGTGACATCACTGGATGACGTGACGTTCGGTCTACTGGTGCCCTGATGTGCGGTCACTTGGTAACGTGACGTCTGTTCACCGGGTGGCGTGACACGCAGCCACCGGGTGCCTTCCAGCCGCGGACACGGCGTCGTCCCGTCCGCCTGACCTTGGCCGGGTGATTAGCCGCGTCTGCAGCGGCCGCGCCGATGAATGCTAAGCCGAGCGCCGGGCAGCACCGCCGAGGCACGTCATTCAGGCCGCGGCGGCGTCCAGCTGTCTCCGGACCCGGCCTGCCGATCGGCGCCGCGCCAGGCACGCCGCGGAGCGGGCCCGCTGACAAACCGGACCGGACCCGCCGGGACCCGAACCGGAACCGGGACCCAGGACCCGGTGCCAGGACGGGGTCACTCGGCGGCGGCGCGGCCGTGGGAGGCGCTATTTGCGGGCAGCGCGCGTGGGCGGACGGAAGGCCGACAGACCCTGGGCTGAGCCGGTGCTGTCGGACAGGATGGGCGGGCGCCGTCGGACGGCCGCCGCCGGCCGCTGCCTCTGATCCGCTCCAGTTCTGTCCAGGAGCGCACCAGTGCTTGGCCGGTCAGGGCCGGGCCGGCTCGGTCGCCGGATCGGCCGGATGGGTCGGAGCGCCATCAACTGGCGAGACCCGAGGTCAGGGGCCGCCAGCGCAGGCGCCGCCTCCACTGCACCTCTGAGCCCGGTATGACTCGAGGTCAGGGGTCGCGGCACAGTCCAGTCTCCTTTTCACCTCTGAGCACGGCATAGTCCGAGGTCAGGGGGTCGCGGCACAGGCCAGTCCCCTTTTTACCTCTGAGCACGGCATGGTCCGGGGTCAGGCGCCGCGGCACAGGCCAGCCTCCCTTTTACCTCTGAGCACGGCATGGTCCGGGGTCAAGGGCCGCGGCACAGGCCAGTCTCCTTCGCACCTCTGAGCACGACATGGTCCGGGGTCAGGGGCCGCGGCACAGTTCAGTCTCCTCTGCATCTCTGAGCACGGCATGGTCCGGGGTCAGGGATCTCGGCACAGTCCAGTCTCCTCTGCATCTCTGAGCACGGCATGGTCCGGGGTCAGGGGTCTCGGCACATATTGGTCTTCACTACAGCTCTGAGCTCAGCTCCGCTTTCAATAAGTCAAAGGCCCTCCACGTGATGGATGACGTTGTTCGGGCTGTTGGACCTTGCAGCACAACTGTTCTTTATTGCGCATCATCCATGAATTTCCTGTCGTAGCAATAGTCGCGATCAATTAAGTACACAGCGAAAGCAAACGTTGAAGGACAATGTTAAGTGCACTTCTGAAGACGCCATTGTCAGATTGAAATGAATCTCACGTGCGCTGCACGATCGGACCGAACACCAGATTGCTGCGCAGTTATCTGCCTGTGTTGCCTGTCGTGTGATGATTTTCATAAGCCTGCCCCGTCTCGGTTTCCCTCGGTTCAGTAATATCGACTCTGTTGTTGATTTCGCTGGTCGTGTGTGAATCCGAACATGACCGACAGCTTACCACCTCGCTTGAGACATCAAAGCGCTGTATGGCTCCATCTGTTACGAATTCCTCCCATGTCGACGGGTGTGTATTTCTAAAGTCACGCGTGCACCCATACTGTGTATGTGTGCCTCAGGTGTCGATGATCTCTAAGATCGTGCCGTCTCCCGACTGGTTCATCGGCATCGACAGCCTGGAGCTCTGCGAAGACGGACACTGGATCGACACACTGGATGTCAAGGTACGCACGAGCCCGTCTCTGCAGTTAGGCGTGCGGAGAGAAGGAGGGTGGGGGTGGGGGTCCGTCGGCTCCATGCTTTGGTTGCGAGTGGTGGATTGAAGTCTTTCAGCGCGATCACAGTTTTCGTGCGATTGTTTTAATGTGATCAAATCCGTCAGTGTGGGGACCATTTCAACGCTGCTAAGCTCTATCATGCCAACTGCATTATTGAGCGGTCTTAGTCAGGCAACTCACCGCCCGCCCGAATCTAAGGGTCACTTGTTCACGCGGTGAGACAGGGGCCGGCGGCAGGGGCGGTTGGCCTGTCTGGAGGTCACTTGTCCGCGGGGTCCGCCGGAGCACCTTTGCCGGACTGCGCGCGCCGAGGCCGAGGTGGGCGGGGACCCGATCGCGGCCAGTCCCAGACAGGCAGTCCCCCCTCCCGCGGCAGCTGGCCAGCCAGGCGGAGTGACCGGTGGCAGTGTTTGGACGGCCGCCGCTGACCCGGTTGGCGGCCTTGGCTCGCCGGCACGTGGCGGCCGCCATGCATGCAGCTATGCGGGGTTGGTCGGCCCGGCGCGGCCCGGCCGGCTTTAGATCGGCCGCGATCGAGGCCCTGTTTCCGACGGAGCACCGCTCATTGAGTCGCTTCTATCGTCGCATCGCGCCGACGCTGTCCTGGAGGTGCGACCGATGCATAATTCACGCGGCCGGAAAGCGGTCGAGTCGGTCGCGGATATCCCGCGCGATCGCGCAAGGTGCTGGAGCAGTCCAACGGTGCATGCTGCCCGGCGCTGGAGCCGACCAGGGCTCATTGTAAACTCTGTGCTCGGCGAATGCCACGTGGTGCTTCTCCCAGCTCACGAATAGCGCTCACTGCCTTCACGGCCGTTGGAAGGAACCGGCACTCCCCGTAGTTCAATGTGGGAGCGGTGCACGAGACGGGCCGGAAGTCACGACTGGCATAAGTTTGTTCTACGGGCTGTGTGCTATGCACCGATTTCGTGCCTCGTTCGCTACGCTGAAAGATCGCAGCCCGTAAGACTGTGATATCAGGCTGCACCCAATCTGAAATTCCTAGCCACAGATCACGAGACCTCCGTTAGCCGGAAGCCGAGCAGGGCTCCGCACCTGCCCTCCGTCCTCCCCGGCCGACGCCGTCCGACACCGACTGACGTGCCGCTCCCCGGCCGTGTTAACGCCGCGCTGTCCGCGCCTTGAGTGGCCGGACATGGCCGTGGGGGAGCGCCTGCAGTAGCCCGCCGTCGCCGGTGCTGACCGTACCTGTGTCGGGCAGCTGTTCCCAATGTCCGCGCCTTGAGTGGCCGGACATGGCCGTGGGGGAGCGCCCGCAGCAGCCCGCCGTCGCCGGTTCTGACCGCACCTGTGTCGGGCAGCTGTTCCCGATGGATGCCGGCACCGACCAGGGCCTGGCGTTCACCTCGCCCAACTGGGAGTCGGTGCCGCACGAGCCCATCTACCAGATCACCAGCCGGCGGCCGGACCACCCGGCCAGCAGCTTCCAGTACCCCGACCTCGACGCGCTGCCGCCGCTGGCCAGCCTGCACATCTTCAGGGTTAGTCGAGAGGCCACCGGGGTCGGCCAGGAGACATCCGAGGTCGGTCAGGAGGTGTGCAAGGTCGTTGGGAGACCTAGGTCAGTCGGGAGGTGATTGGGTTCGGTCGGTAAAGCCATCGGAGTAAGTCAGTTCGCTGAGGTCAGCCAAAAGGTGGTAACCGGAGTAAGTCAGTTCGCTGAGGTCAGCCAAGAGGTGGTTACCGAGGTAAGTCAGACCACCTGGGTGGGGACAAGGTTACCGTGGTACATCAAATCACCAGGGACAGTCAGGTCTTTAGAGTCTCAGCTAAATCATCAGATTTGCCGGATGGTTCCTAGGGTGGGTCGGTCATTAGGGTCAATTCGATGGCCACTAGGGCTGGTCGACAGCGAGGTAGCAACGCTGCATTGCCGCCCGGATGACGGGAATAACTATCTCGAGTGCAAAGGGCTCATTAATCGCACACTATGAGAGCGAAAACAATGAGCGGCAATAACCTTCTGGCTTTAAATCAAAACCTTCACGAACTTATACAATAAGGTACGTGCGCATATAACAGACCTTGGGAACACGTCTTCCCTCCCCCTTACCAAATTACGATATGTACCAAAATGTACGTGGCTAAATGCTGCCAGTTAAATATTTTAAGAAGACACATAGCATAAAAAGATCATCACGGAACGTTGTTTTGTAGCAAACAAAGAACTTCGCACCCCGCGGTGCGCATAGGTGCGGTGCGCACCCCGCGGTGCGCATTCCCTTTCAGCGAAATGTAATGTTGTGCCCCTTCCACTGTGAAGTCCCTGGTACGACCCTGGATACAACAGTCATTCAAATGATAGGGTAACATCACGCTTCATCAGGCAATGTCCAACCATGCAATCGAGCGCATGACGTTAACAAAGACATGAGGCACAACGCCGCTGGAGCGCGGCTGGCCGCAGCTGTCTGGGCGGACACAGAGCAGGCGGGCTAGTCCCACGCACGCACGCTGCGGAACGCGTCCGGCTGGCCGCAGCTGTCTGGGTGGACACAGAGCAGGTGGGCTAGTCCCACGCACGCCGCTGCGGAACGCGTCCGGCTGGCCGCAGCTGTCTGGGCGGACACAGAGCAGGTGGGCTGGTCCCACGCACGCCGCTGCGGAACGCGTCCGGCTGGCCGCAGCTGTCTGGGCGGACACAGAGCAGGTGGGCTAGTCCCACGCACGCCGCTGCGGAACGCGTCCGGCTGGCCGCAGCTGTCTGGGCGGACACAGAGCAGGTGGGCTAGTCCCACGCACGCCGCTGCGGAACGCGTCCGGCTGGCCGCTGCGGGATCGCCTCGGCCGCCGAGCCAGTACCGCACGGGCCGTGACACAGAGTGATAAAATGCAGATTGCGCTGATCTAAGCCCGGGGATCGAGCCAGCGCAGCCACGTCAAGGCGACGGTACCCGTCTGGGAGCGGCGCTCACCCACGGCCAATGATTCCATGCGATTGGTGACTCGCCCCGCGCCCACGGAAGACGTCCCGCTCGGTATGAAGTCACCGCCCTGCCGCTGGCGTGCGGCGCCTTCCGCAGCGTGTTTCCGGACTCTCAGACGCCGACTTGCGTCATGTCGTGTCACTGTCTGAGGATGCGCTCACAGGCACGCCTGGCCGCCAGCATGTCTGAGCGTGGGTGTGCCAGTCGGTGGAGCGTAGCCAGACCTCCCTGTCCCTGCCGCAGGTGCGGTCCTACAAGCTGGCGCACGAATTCCACCAGTCCAACACGGTGGTGTACACGGTGGACACGGCGCCGCCGGAGAAGGTGCAAATCGTCACCACCACGCAGCGCTCGGTCCAGCTGCCGGGCATTCAGCTGTCGACCCAGTCGGCCAGGCCGCCGCCGGCCGGCGCCGCCGCCCGGCACGCCGACGGCAGTCTGTCCCAGGTGGCGCTGCGGTCGGACGGCGAGCCGACCAAGATCGACGGCCTGCGTCTCAAGGTGGTCAGGGCCGACGAGCTGAGCGGCGTCAAGGTGCGCAACGGAGACCGGCAGGCCATCATCGAGAAGATCACCAGCCACTACCACCACAAGCGACGCAAGTCGCGCCGCCGCCGCCGCAAACACCTCAAACGCAAACGTCAGTTCCGGCGCCGCACCCGCCTCGCATCAAGACGAGCCCCGCCTCCTCGTGACTAACCTAAAGCCCCACCCAAACGTTTAAAGATGACTTATTTAATATTTAAAGCCTTAAGAATGCTTTGATAGATCCTTGTGTTAGCGCGTTGCTTTTATTTTGCGGCTGTCTGTCGGAGTGGATACTTCATAAACGGTCTGAACCTAGGTATAAACAGTGACTTAGCCTAAGCCAATAACCCGGTATCAGTGATAACCCAGCCGCTGCCGCATCCTCCGTTGCCACTGTCCGCTCCGCTAACGCTTGCTCGGCTCGCTGACTGGCGCCTGGTTGCAGGTGGGCCGCGCAACTGTTCAGTGGGCCCCTGGTCGGACTGGGGTCGCTGCTCGCGCGCCTGCGGTATCGGCGAGATGACGCGGACGCGGCAGGTGACGCGCCACGCGCGCCGCGGCGGCAAGCCGTGCCCGCCGCTGGAGCAGCGGCGCTGGTGCGGCTCGGCCCGCAGCTGCGACAAGCGTTACTTCAACTGGTAGCCGGCACCGCCGCGCACAGAACGACGCCGCCCGGCCGGCCGACGGACGGCGGCGACGCTGGCGTCATCTGCGCGGGCGACGCGGGCGACATCTGCAGGGCGCCCGCCAGCCGAGGACTGCTCAGGTAGCCGCGCGGAGGCTGTGGGCGCGGACAGTTGTTTGTGGACGATCGAGAGGGGGTGGGTCTCGGAGTGCCGCCTGCCCTCTGTGGACCGTTCTAGCCCGCGCTGTGCGCTGGTTGGAGAGCGCCCGCGGTCGGAACTGACCTCCGCTGGCCGTGCTGAGCTTCGCTGGCCGCGCGGTCTCGCCGCGACAGAACGGCCTTGCCCCGCCCGTGCTGGACACGGCGTCGGGAGTGGCGGTTTCCTGGTCACGCACCCGTGATCGCACATGTAATCGGTAGCGCCCATCCGCAGCCACTAACGTAGAACCGCAGTGGCGTTGCAACCACTAACGTCGCTTGAGGTGACCCAGGCCGCGTGCCATTCGCAGTAGTGACTTACCGTAGACTACAGTGTGGTGCAGTGTCTTCTGTGTCGATGGTGTTCCTCCCATCCCTCAGCCACCGTGTGGAATCCCCACCACCACTGGAGTAAGTGCTGGTAACTGGGGCTCGAGAGGTCGACGTATGGGGGCTCATTGGCGACGAGAAAGCCGCTGAACGGCCGGAAAGCTGGTTGAACCGCTTGGTATATGATTTATATATATATAATTTATTTAAATGGGCCTAAATGTGCCAAATGCACGCAACCTGAAGCTTGCAGCCACTGGAGATCACTGATGAGGGTGAAGATGTGCCAGATGCTTTTATAGTTGATGTCAACATTTACTGCCAACATGAGACGTGTTTGTGAGATGTGAAAATAAAAGTGCCCAAATATTGTCTCCGGCGCCCATTTCCTTACGACTTCGAGCAGGAAATCATCGGATTGGTTGTCTAGATGTTGATGCAGATGAGCGTGATCTGAAATCATGGCATCAAGTGATATGATGTGAATGTTGCCTATTCTACATCGTCAAGAATCATGCCTGGATTCGGGACCACTGACAGGTAGGGGACCTGCCTAGTGCTGCCAACTCTATATCAACGGGAGTTGCGCTTGGATGCAGGACCATTGTCAGGCAGGGGAATTGCCTAGACTGAGGACCTGTCTAGGCTGAGGAGTTGTCCAGGCAGGGCGCCTGCTTCTGAAAAGTACGGTTACGCACTCAGCTGTCGGAATTGTCGCGCGTGATGATGCTGGCATGGTTTCCATGGATGCTTTGTGTGCATCAGCATGAACAAATAAACGTCTTGGCAGCATCGTTCAGGAGAAGTGAATGAGCGAGAGCAGCGATGGATCAAACGCGATCATCCGCATGCCTTCCTTCCACATGTTTCCTTTTGCTTTCCGCATGTGGAGGCGTACCGCATGCATGCTTCCACCAGACCAATAGATGCACGCGATCCATTGGTGTGGTGGTTGTTAAGATCACCACATTGTTGTATATTTGCCGAATCTTGGTTGTTTGGCTGTTTAAATTGGAGTCCTTTCGGCCAACCATGATACCATGCTTTGAACCCATTTCAGGGCTTTGGGATGAAGCAATATGGATAAGAGTGAGGCAGGGCTGCACGCGCCCGGGAACCCATCCGTCGGGGCTTAGCCCGCACAGGGACCCCTTCTGCGGGGTACATGCTCGGCGGTCGGGCCGAGGCTCTCACCACCAGTAGCCGGTTTCTCAAAACAGAACTTCATATATTTTTGGTGTAAATTGTACATTTTTGGCATATGCTCGTATCACTCAGTTTCTCAAAGCAAAATATACAACTTACAACCACAATCTACGGACACTAAAAAAAATACGCAGAAAATGCACAATCTACGACACAAATATCCACAAACAATCTTGCATGAGTTTCTTGAAGCCAAGAACAAAATTAGGATAGAGCTGAATTTTGATAGGTCCGTGATGAATTTGGCAATGCAATCAATGCAGGCATTTGTGTTGTAGATTATGATGCTGACCTTAGGACTGTTACTCATTGAAAGACAAATTGCTGCAGCGGCAAGCCTAAACAACATGCAACAGCTGCTAAAGACATAATGGAGCATAAAGCTTGAGTGTGAGCAAGGAACAGTGAGTGTCCCAGCCTTTCAGGCATGAAGCCTTGGGTAGAGCATGCCAAGCCCAAAAGATAAGGCAAAACTGCCTGGTCAAGGAACTTCCTCTGCACAAATGTCATCAAAATACATCAAAATACATCACAATTGAGGAAAATTTGTGCAGCTGCCACAATACTTGTCATGGATACCATACATTCTATGTTTATGCAAGCTGTATTCTAGACACTTTCAAAGTGAGATATAGGCAGCATCATTGTCTGCAGTGCATACCATGGTTAAAAACACTGTGATGTGCAATAAATGCTAATAAAATGGCTTAGCATAACACAATAATTATTCCCTGAAATTGACATCATTTGAATAACACAGCTACATACATCCTGTGCATCACTATGTCATAAGGTGGCAGCTAGCCTGCATATAATAGAAACATACTTTCAATCATCAGTCATATAGAGAGATCCTGTTCCCAACGACAAGTACAGCAGCCTGCCTATGGTTGGATCCATGAATGGCCCTTTTTCAGTGATCAGTGACAGCTCATGTTTACTTCACATGTTCCCTTAAGCTCTGAAGGCTAAGGTCTGACAGTCCCACCTTCAATGCCCAGGACGTGCTTGGCAAGCACAGGCACTATGTGCTTACTGTTCACATGATCTCGTCCACAATCGCTATGCAAAATTTAGCCTCCATGAGTCGAACATTCTAGGAGGAAACTGAACACTGAAGCAGCTGATGAATGGAAGAAAGCTTCCTTCGCCGAATTTATCAATTATGCACAACACTACCACCAAAACGGCCCCCAGTTCGGCACGCATCTCCAAAAGGCCACACATACCTACTATACGTGTTCATCTGTTACGTAGCATGGAGACTTACAAACATAGCGCGTCGATGGCCAAAAAAAAAAAACGCGCAGCGGTCGATGCGACTAAATGGTGTTGCTGAAAAGTGGGTGCGCACCACTACGGGCGAGTCGACGGGCAGTGGTCGGTCGGTCTCTCTCTCTCTCTCTCTCTCTCTCTCTCTTCTTCGTCTCGCACTCTCTTATCTTCTCTCTTGCTCTCTATCTCTCGTCTCTCTCTTCGCGAGCGATCAAAGCGGCTTTTTGTCTTCGAGCTGCTCTCCTCTCTTTCTCTCCTCTCTCTCTCTCTCTCTCTCTCTTCTATCTCTCTCTCCCTCTCTCTCTCTCTCTCTCTCTCTCTCTCTCTCTCTCTCTCTCTCTCTCTCTCTCTCTCTCTCTCTCTCTCTATCTCTCTTCTCTCTCTCTCTCTCTCTCTCTCTCTCTCTCTATCTCTCTCTCTCTCTCTCTCTTCTCTCTCTCCTCTCTCTCTCTCTCTCTCTCTCTCTCTCTCTCTCTCTCTCTCTCTCTCCTCTCTCTCTCTCTCTCTCTCCTCTCTCTCTCTTCTCTCTCTCTCTTCTCTCTCTCTCTCTCTCTCTCTCTCTCTCTCTCTCTCTCTCTCTCTCTCTCTCTCTCTCTCTTCTCTCTCTCTCTCTTCTCTCTCTCTCTCTCTCTCTCTCTTTCAACACTGCCAGCCATACTCTTCCCTTGTTCATGGTCGTCATTGGGGATTTAGGACGCACTTGGCTTCTTCGGCTAGATGGCGTCAACTACCGCTCATCCTGGCGGAAACGCGGGCACCGCGGGTAATCGAACCCCGTACCCAGACGCCTTAACCACTGAACCATGTATTGGTGGCTTGATGACGAGCCAGGCAAGTGAAAACTTATGTATTATTTTGTCTTAATCGATGGTAGCTCAGGTTAAGGTAACACATACTCAAAACATAAACGTATGTTCATTACTGCTAAAATTATCTCAAGTTTGGTGGTCGTTGTCCTGGCAACGGGACACACAAATCTACGCCACCGCCCAAATGTACAAACTACGACAAAGGTCACGTGATGACTTTGAGAAGCTGGCTTAATGTGTAGTTTGTAAAATCGAAAGTACACAAGTTTGGTGGTCGTTGTCCTGGCAACGGAACGCACAAATCTACGCCACCGCCAAATGTACAAACTACGACAAAGGTCACGTGATGACTTTGAGAAGCTGGCTTAATGTGTAGTTTGTAAAATCGAAGGTACACATTAATGCTTAGCGTAAGATTGTACTTTCGCTTTGAGAAACTGGCTCCAGGCAGTTCGGCTCACTCATGGCTGGTGCATGTAGCTTGTTCCGGACAAACGGGGCGCCGAGAGAATACAGGATGAAGAAAGAGAGAGGATGAAAGGGCAGATGTGGCCACATCTTGATCCAGATCCCCTAATGCGGGCGCCGCTCTGCCGATGCATGCACGCGCTCGTGTGGGGTTTAATTCCGGGCCCCCTCCCCCTCCCAAAGGCTTCAACAGAATAATATTTAAACGGCATGGCGTGGACCGGCCAAACTTTGCACAGCTGTAGGCAATTGAAAAGCTGCCATTTTAAATAAGATATTCAGTGCATTCGCGAGCAGCATTATTCACATAGATAAGACCGTTGGTAATAGCCTTATCCCTCGGAGAAAAACCAGGAGAATGAAGATAAGATTGGTCGATATTTCGGCAATATGCCTTTATCGAGACAATAGCAGAAGACTATTGGAAGGACTTCTGCTATTGTTTCGATAAAGGCATGTCACTGAAATATCAATAAATCTATATCTTCATTCTTCTGGCTTTTCTCCGAGGAATAAGGCTTAATGCGACGATCTTATCTAGCGGATCTTTTGTTTCAACAAATCAGATGTACATTGTGAGGTCGCTGACCTTTTCATTCTTCAAAAACAGGCAACGGTTGTCATGAAGGATTGGAAATATAGGGAATTGTTGCAAAGACCATGAAGATATGGTGATAATATGCATAAATGAGAATGAATTCCTGTACATATATAATATATATATATATATACATGTACACGCATATATTTATACTATATTCTAAATGTCGCGGAAATCGTATAATCTGATGCAACAATGGAATGCCAGACGAAGCCATACATCTCTGAGATGGTTTCTTGGGCAATAAAACAGTTTCATCTAAGATTACAACAAGAGTCAGGTATGAAGGTCAGACCGAGTTGAAAACCAGCCTCTTTTAATGGAGAGCTTGTTCTGTCGTGTAGTCTCTGATCCTTATTTCAAAATTTTTGACATCAGGAAAAGCAACAGAATATTCCATGGACTTCTGGAAGGTTAGAGTAGGCTTCTGAACTAGAATGATTTATATCAACCATTTGATTTTAGGAACACAGCACATAACGTAATCCTGGACGCTTATTCAAATTCAAAAATCAAAAAAACCTCGTAGGTGTTGATCACCATGACCTTCGAAAGGTCAAGCAAGGCCACCGAACTAAAAAGGATACCAGTGAACTTTTTCTTAACACAGGTATCTGGGTTCAAGGCGGTTGCATGGGGAAACTTGGGTTACTTTGGACGCCAATCTGGAGTTTGACCATGTTTAACAATATTTAACCCAAAGGTAATAAAATACAAAAAATGAAGGTAATGGTAACCCATGGACTTCAAATTTGACACAAGTCAGTTTGCATACAGACCAATCCACCCTGCCAATTGTTGAATTGAGCCCCAACCGAGCGAAGAGTATTCGCATCTCTTGCTTCATGTGCGCGTGTAGATCCCTGCTGCAGTTTTATAGGTACGTAGCTGAAGGAAATATTACGTAAGATTGGCTTTGTCTCTTACGAGTTAATACGACATGTCCAAGTGTCATTACCGCACTGTGATTCATGCCCCGGCGCAGTGCGCGCTCGAGCCCGCCCGGCGTGCAG